CGTGTAACAGTTGAGGACGTCCCAAGCGACAGCTCCAATTTTGAACAAGAGCTGCCTCTGGATCCGTGAAGCGCCACGTGCGCTGAGATGTCGGGCTCCTAACAGCCAAGCCGCTGAAACAAGGAACAGTTTGGGCAAGACAGGGGCTCGACATTCTTTAGGTCCTTCCATGGTTTTTCCTCCTAGCCTTCCTCGTGCACGCAGGCGCTTGTGGGGCCAAGAAGGGGCCTTGTCGTTCCTTCTTTCGGCAGCCCGACTGCAATGCAGTTCCAGGCGAGGGCTCCATCTTGAAACAGAGCAGCCGTCCATCCTGGTGACCGTTCCGTGGGCACGACTGTGCGCGACGGACGCATTGGCTTTACGGTCGGGGCCCTGAAGAAGGAACCCTTTTCGTTGGGGAGGGGCTCCGTGTTCCTTGATTGCTTCACAGTTTGCCTTGGGTTTTCCTTTGGTTTTCGATGGGAAGTCGGAGTTTCACTTGTGGGAAAAAAGGGGCCCCGTTCCTTATTTGTCGTTCCTTAGGTCAACGCCCCGACTGTATCCCCGCTTTGGGAAAAAAAAGAACCGCTATCCATCCATGATGCAGGTGCAGACGTTCCGCAAGCACGTGCACGACGTTCGCACACGAGAGGGCCACGTCGAGAGCGGCCCCACCTCCACCGCTGGCGGCGCTGCAGACGTGAAAAAGCGAATGAGTGTGGCGCGTCGGCGAGAGCCGCATTTTGAAAACGGCTCTCCCTCCATCCTTGAAGCTGTTATACTACGAACTTGCTCGGCGCGTGCGGCGACGCACTGATTTTGATGTTGACCCCTTTCCCGCCTCGTGCAACAGCTGGAAGCGTGTAAGACGCATCGTCGTGGCGCTGGGGCGAGCATTGCATTTTGAAAAAGACCCCCTCCATCCTCCACGCCTTTCCGTATTCTATGCGGGACTTTGCCCCGCGCAGAAGCGAGGTGACCCATGCTGGGAAGGAGCCGCCCTCTTTCCGGGAGTATGCCGCAAAGGCTGAAGACGAATGCGCAGGGTGCTACGGTTACGTCGGGCGTGTCCCTTCTGCAGAAGGAATGCTCAACGATAGTTAATACATATTGCGCAAACCATGCTCCCTGTATCTTTGACTTCTCTTGGGTACTTTCTGACTCTTTTTATTTCCCCTCTCAAACCCGCCTGTCGGGAGACATGCCCGACCTAACGCTACGGCGACGGCCACGTTTTGTTCCTGGGAGTCGTCCGCGCCTATCTTGCGCGGCCCAAGAATGGGAACCGGTTATGACGGGCGAGGCTCACCGAGGGAAAATCATCCAGAATGGGGCGCGAGGGAGGCTTCGGCAACGAGGGAGCGATTAACGGAGGTAGCAATACCATACCAGTATTGATTGTGCACCGCCCTCTCTCCCAATCCTTAGTGGGCCCTGGAAACGACAGGGCCGTTATGTTACCGGTTCCGTTTTGCCGTTGTTTTGCCGGTTCCGACGCCGTTTTTTTACCGGTTCCGTCGCCGTTCTTTGACCGGTTCTGGCTCCGGTTGCAATCCTGAAGCTTTTTTTTGCCGTTTCCGGTCGCCGTTTTTTTGCCGTTTCCATATTCAACCACGAAGTCCCAATCCTCTCCCCCTCCCCCTCCCCCATCCTTCCCCCTCCCCCTCGACCGCAAGACACAGTTGCGAGCTCGCCGACGCTCGCTCCGTGTCCGAGAGTCAGCAGGACCGATTCTTCCAGGCGCAGCCGAAGGGCTGACCGCCTGCCACTTGCTACCATATTCGGCGGGCTCTCTTCGCATCGGGCTCCTGTGCCCCGCAGCCTGTAGCAGGACACGGCCTCTGCCGATGGGGAGCAGCGTGGCGCAGCCACCCGCCGTGAAACGGCTGCAGACGCTCATGGCGAGCTTGCTCGGCGCCCAGGCGAAGGGCCACACTCTTGAGGAGGGGCCGCTCTCCAGCCGCGGTGCTGCGGCAGGCAGTGAAGACGGATGAGCGCGGCGCTCGGGCGAGAGCGACTTTGAAAACGACGCCCTGCGTCCGTGAATCTGTTGCAAACTTGTGAGGTGAAGCTGCGCGGCGCCAGCGTGAGAGCTGCAGCGCGAATCTCGGCCCTTGCTCCACCAGGGAAGCAGTTCCAGTTCGTTTTGAACGTATGTGTGCGGCGCCGAGGTGGGAGCCTCGTTTCGAGCAGAAAGCGCCCTCCATCTGGAAGCTGTTGCACCATCCTAGAACGACGTTGCACAGCGCTCGTGCGAGAGCGACGTCTTGAAAACGACCCCCCCTCCACCCGCAAAGCGGCTGCAATGCGCCATGGCGGGTCAGCGCGGCGCCCGCGCGAGTGCCGCGGGTGGGCCGCGGCCGGTGCTCCTCCGGGTCGGATGGTGCACCCCGTGCGAGACAGCGAGCGCGGCGCTCGGGCGAGAGCGACGTGTCGACGCCCCCCCGTTCCCTCCGCGAAGCTGCTGGAACGTCTCAGAGCTGCAGGCTCGCAGCTTGTGAGGGGGCTCGGAGGGGCGGAGCGTCCACGGCAGCCGCCCCGCGGGCGCGCTTGCTTGCTCGGGGGGTGCGAGGCCGGGTGGAGTTCTCGGTCGGGGCGGCTGGGTGTGGGAGGCTGTTCTCGTGAACGGCGGGGGGGGGTGTGGACGAGGAGGAGGGACCATTGGAGGATGATGGCGGAAGGGGGGGGGGGGAAGGGGTGCGGGAGGAGGAGGAGGGTCGAAAGAGGGAGGGGGGAGCAGGAGGGGGACGGGGGGAGGAGGAGGTGGAGAAGGAAGTTCGGGAGGGCGGAGGGGGACGAGGAGGAGGGACGACTGCAGGAGGGCGCGGGGGCAAGGTGGGGGCGCGGAGACTGGGCGCGAGGTAGGAGTTGTGTGAGGGTGTGGGTGTTTGTGTGCGTGTTTGGGTGTTTGCGTGTTTGCGTGTTTGCGTGTTTGCGTGTTTGCGTGTTTGCGTGTTTGCGTGTGTGTGTGTGTGTTTGCGTGTTTGCGTGTTTGCGTGTTTGCGTGTGTGTGTGTGTGCGTGTGTGTGTGTGTGTGTGCGTGTGTGTGTGTGTGTCTCTGTGTGTTTGTGTGTGTGTTTGTGGTGTGGTGTGTGGGGGGGGGGCGCGGATCCCGCAGGACGAGGGCACGGAATCAGAATCGTTGTACCTGTCTTTGGATTGCTCTTCGGGGCGAGTGGGCTGGTCCCTAGGGGCCTGACGACTCTTCTCCAATCGATCTGCGGGAGCTTGGTCGCACAGCGTCGACGCTCGCCGACGTAACCTTGCGCACACGCGTGCACATCTTGGTGCATCTGGAGACCTCGGGTGATGTCTGGGTATAAGTCGTGGGAGAGCCGGCGCGAGTCGCGGGACTGCAGAGGTGGTTATACGCCCTCAGCGATTGGGGGTTCGAAGCGAGGCCTCGGCGGGCCGAAGCCCGTGCCTCCCGGGGAGGTCTCCCTCTGGCAGGCGGGCTGCGGCCCCTGTGGAGGGGCCAGCTCGCCCGACAGTGAAGTCGGGCACGTCCCTCTGCAGGCGGAAAATTCAAACATGGTCCAAAACATAGTCAGGGGACTTTGTTTGAGTACTGTATTTTTGGAGATAGTTTGATATTTGTTTGAGGAGTTTTCATTTTTCGTTCAACGTCCGCCTGTAGCAGGACACGCCCGACTTACATCTACAGTCACCGCCCACCAAACCACCCTAACCCAACCCGAAGGCCCCGATTTGCCATCCGTTTCCAGTGGGGGTGGGGGGGTCGAGGACCGTTGACAAAAAACCATAAGAATCTCGTACCCCCCCCAACCCGAATTTCGGGTCTGATTCGGCCCTTCGGGTTGGGTTGGGGTGCTCTGGTAGGCAGCCATACAGTCAACCTAGGCCTCCTAGATGGGGTCGGAGTAGATGGGGTCGGAGGATCGCGCCGCATCGCCGATGCATCGCCGATGTCGCTCGATGTGCGACTCGATTTGCTTCACGTCGACGTCGCCGATGCTTCGCCGACGTCGATGATGCATCGGCGGTGCATCGCCGATGCATCGCCGATGTATCGCCGATGTATCGGCGATGCGGCGCGATACTCCGATCCCATCTACTCCGACCCCATCTACCTGTAGTCAGACCGCACCATGAGGATGAGTAGCTTCCCAAGGTCGGAGCGGGGCCTGTCGAGGCAGCGGCGGCTTCCCTGGCGTTCTTGGCCCTTGTTGAGCCTCCTGGGGGCTTCTCGTCGCCACGGCTGGATACTTCGGGTTGACCCAAAAGGTGGTCCAGCGACAAGGGGGTGGTGCAACAGATTTGGTGCAATAGATTTGTGGGGTTGCGGTACATTTGGGGCGTGCAATACATTTCGGGCCGCAAATGTATTGCTGGATTTTCGCGTGCAATGCAACACAATTTTCCTGCGCAGTACATTTGCAATACAATTGCCCCCAATCTATTGCACCACCCCCTTTCAGCTGGACCCCCTTTTGGGTCACCCAAAAATCCTGCTCGAAATCTGGTCCCGGAGTTCGATTTGAGCGGATTTGGGCTCAGCGGGAGGGTCGCCGTTGTCCAAATGTGCCCTGTTCTGGCAATGGCACCCTTGCGTCCTTGCCTCTCGTCCCATCCTCGCCCTCGGCCATGGGCTTCTAACTCTGGTCTCAGCTTGCACTCCCACCGCGCATTCTTACGAATGATTTGGTTGCGCTGCACCATGCGAGGCGTCCCCGTGTCGATTCGACTATCCCTGCACACCGGGCGGATACATGTCGGAAAGCTTCCCGCATGGGCGGCTCTCAGTCCATCTTAGAGTTCTCGGCACCATAATCTTGTGGAGGACGATCAATGGAGAGGAAGCATGTTGCCAAATAAATTCCAGATGTCCAAAACATGTGTTGAACATGCATAAAACATGTAAAAGCATGTTTAATCCATGTTGCGAACCGTTTTACGATATTTCGAACACAAATTAAATTCAATGATAGGACTGTTAGGGTGTTCATTGCCGTGGCATCCACCACCATATTTCCCCATTCCTCGCCATCAGTCTCCTCCGTAGCCGTTGTGGCTCAGGGCCGTTTTTTGGCTCATTCAGTTTTGTAGGCCAGCCGCACCTCAGCCATGCCGAAGGGCACGGTCAAGAAGTTCTTCGAGGACAAGGGCTTCGGCTTCATCACGCCCGACGACGGTGGCGACGACGTGTTCGTGCACCGGAAGGTGAACGGGGACGACCGGACCGCGTACCTCGAGGAGGGCGATGCTGTCAGGTACGAGGTGGAATGGGACGATCGCAAGGGCAAGTACTCGGCCTCGTCCTGCGATGGGCCATGGAAGACAGGCGGTGGCGGGGGAGGTGGCGACTGGGGCGGCGGCGGCGGGGGCAAGGGCGGGGGCAAGGGCGGCGGCTACAGGTCTTACTGAGACCACAGGGATCTGGGTCATGCCACTTGAGTGCGGGAAGTGCGCTTGTGTGCGCGGAAGGGAGGACTCGCCCGAATGATCTCAACCCGTTCCATTTGTGTTGAGCGCCGCACGGCGATGCGGATCTGCCCAGCCTCAGGTCTTGTTTCGTCGCTGTCAGCCGGATCTGCGAAGGATGGTCTGCGCGCCGCCTGAGCGCAAGGCATCGGACGTGCCGCGGCGGAAACGACTCTGCTTCTGCTCTTCCTCATCGCCTGCCCCCTGGAGGAGGAGGACGGGAGGAGCAGAAGGGTTTTTGGTGTTACTGGCGTGGCGGTCCTCGAGGAGTGGGGTGCCTGCCTCCTGGCGGAGGGAGGAGCAGGAGGTGCAGGAGGACTCCCGGGAGGAGGACGAGGCGGAGGAGGAAGGCTGGTGCTCCTGGATTGTTGGGCGCACCCACGGGGCTTCGGGGCCCCGTGCGGACCCGTCCGAGGGGCGGAACCTCATCCAGGCCTCTCGGGTCAAGTGCCACATGGCAGCTCGCTCTGCCAGGCGGGCCCTCGGCGATTTTGTTTTTTTTACTGTTGTGTTTGTTTTGTGTCTATGTTTTTGTGCGCAGCGCAAGTGTGCGTGTGCGTGTGTGTGTGTGTGTGTGTGCCACCTCAAGAGGCGCGTGCTGCGACCATGCAAACTGGCTGTTTTGCTCCACCGTGCGCCGCAACGTCATGGGTCCGGTGCTTGCAAGTCTCAGGCGGCAACACTTCGGAAACCTCCGCTCGAACCACGATCGGCTTGAATGTTCTTGTTCCCCGTAGCTGTCGCGTGAGAACTCGTCATATCTCGCCGTCAATCTACTCCGTAGCCGTTGTGGCTCAGGGCCGTTTTTTGGCTCATTCAGTTTTGTAGTCCAGCCGCACCTCAGCCATGCCGAAGGGGACGGTCAAGAAGTTCTTCGAGGACAAAGGCTTCGGCTTCATCACGCCCGACGACGGTGGCGACGACGTGTTCGTGCACCGGAAGGTGAACGGGGACGACCGGACCGCGTACCTCGAGGAGGGCGATGCTGTCAGGTACGAGGTGGAATGGGACGACCGCAAGGGCAAGTACTCGGCCTCGTCCTGCGATGGGCCATGGAAGACAGGCGGTGGCGGGGGAGGTGGCGACTGGGGCGGCGGCGGGGGCAAGGGCGGGGGCAAGGGCGGCGGCTACAGGTCTTACTGAGACCACAGGGATCTGGGTCATGCCACTTGAGCGCAGGAAGTGCGCATGTGTGCGCGGAAGGGAGGGCTCGCCCGAATGATCTCAACCCGTTCCATTTGTCTTGAGCGCCGCACGGCGATGCGGATCTGTCCAGCCTCAGGTCTTGTTTCGTCGCTGTCAGCCGGATCTGCGAAGGATGGTCTGCGCGCCGCCTGAGCGCAAGGCATCGGACGTGCCGCGGCGGAAGCGACTCTGCTTCTGCTCTTCCTCGTCGCCTGCCCCCTGGAGGAGGAGGACGGGAGGAGCAGGAGGGTTTTTGGAGTTACTGGCGTGGCGGTCCTCGTGGAGTGGGGTGCCTGCCTCCTGGCGGAGGGAGGAGCAGGAGGTGCAGGAGGACTCCCGGGAGGAGGATGAGGCGGAGGAGGAAGGCTGGTGCTCCTGGATTGTTGGGCGCATCCACGGGGCTTCGGGGCCCCGTGCGGACCCGTGCGAGGGGCGGAACCTCATCCAGGCCTCTCGGGTCAAGTGCCACATGGCAGCTCGCTCTGCCAGGTGGTCCCTCGGCGATTTTGTTTGTTACTGTTGTGTTTGTTTTGTGTCTATGTTGTGTTTGTTTTGTGTCTATGTTTTTGTGCGCAGCGCAAGTGTGCGTGTGTGTGCCCCTTCAAGAGGCGCGTGCTGCGGCCATGCAAACTGGCTGTTTTGCTCCACCGTGCGCCGCAACGTCATGGGTCCGGTGCTTGCAAGTCTCAGGCGGCAACACTTCGGAAACCTCCGCTCGAACCACGATCGGCTTGAATTTTGTTGTTCCCCGCAGCTGTCGCGTGAGAACCCGTCATTTCTTGCCGTCAATCTACTCCGTAACCGTTGTGGCTCAGGGGCGTTTTTTGGCTCATTCAGTTTTGTAGGCCAGCCGCACCTCAGCCATGCCGAAGGGGACGGTCAAGAAGTTCTTCGAGGACAAGGGCTTCGGCTTCATCACGCCCGACGACGGTGGCGACGACGTGTTCGTGCACCGGAAGGTGAACGGGGACGACCGGACCGCGTACCTCGAGGAGGGCGATGCTGTCAGGTACGAGGTGGAATGGGACGACCGCAAGGGCAAGTACTCGGCCTCGTCCTGCGATGGGCCATGGAAGACAGGCGGTGGCGGGGGAGGTGGCGACTGGGGCGGCGGCGGGGGCAAGGGCGGGGGCAAGGGCGGCGGCTACAGGTCTTACTGAGACCACAGGGATCTGGGTCATGCCACTTGAGCGCAGGAAGTGCGCATGTGTGCGCGGACGGGAGGACTCGCCCGAATGATCTCAACCCGTTCCATTTGTCTTGAGCGCCGCACGGCGATGCGGATCTGCCCAGCCTCAGGTCTTGTTTCGTCGCTGTCAGCCGGATCTGCGAAGGATGGTCTGCGCGCCGCCTGAGCGCAAGGCATCGGACGTGCCGCGGCGGAAACGACTCTGCTTCTGCTCTTCCTCGTCGCCTGCCCCCTGGAGGAGGAGGACGGGAGGAGCAGGAGGGTTTTTGGAGTTACTGGCGTGGCGGTCCTCGTGGAGTGGGGTGCCTGCCTCCTGGCGGAGGGAGGAGCAGGAGGTGCAGGAGGACTCCCGGGAGGAGGATGAGGCGGAGGAGGAAGGCTGGTGCTCCTGGATTGTTGGGCGCACCCACGGGCCTTCGGGGCCCCGTGCGGACCCGTGCGAGGGGCGGAACCTCATCCAGGCCTCTCGGGTCAAGTGCCACATGGCAGCTCGCTCTGCCAGGTGGTCCCTCGGCAATTTTGTTTTTGTTTACTGTTGTGTTTGTTTTGTGTCTATGTTTTTGTGCGCAGCGCAAGTGTGCGTGTGTGTGTGTGCCACCTCAAGAGGCGCGTGCTGCGGCCATGCAAACTGGCTGTTTTGCTCCACCGTGCGCCGCAACGTCATGGGGCCGGTGCCTGCAAGTCTCGGGCGGCAACACTTCGGAAACCTCCGCTCGAACCACGATCGGCTTGAATTTTGTTGTTCCCCGCAGCTGTCGCGTGAGAACCCGTCATTTCTCGCCGTCAATCTACTCCGTAGCCGTTGTGGCTCAGGGCCGTTTTTTGGCTCATTCAGTTTTGTAGGCCAGCCGCACCTCAGCCATGCCGAAGGGGACGGTCAAGAAGTTCTTCGAGGACAAGGGCTTCGGCTTCATCACGCCCGACGACGGTGGCGACGACGTGTTCGTGCACCGGAAGGTGAACGGGGACGACCGGACCGCGTACCTCGAGGAGGGCGATGCTGTCATGTACGAGGTGGAATGGGACGACCGCAAGGGCAAGTACTCGGCCTCGTCCTGCGATGGGCCATGGAAGACAGGCGGTGGCGGGGGAGGTGGCGACTGGGGCGGCGGCGGGGGCAAGGGCGGGGGCAAGGGCGGCGGCTACAGGTCGTACTGAGACCACAGGGATCTGGGTCATGCCACTTGAGTGCTGGAAGTGCGCATGTGTGCGCGGAAGGGAGGACTCGCCCGAATGATCTCAACCAGTTCCATTTGTCTTGAGCGCCGCACGGCGATGCGGATCTGCCCAGCCTCAGGTCTTGTTTCGTCGCTGTCAGCCGGATCTGCGAAGGATGGTCTGCGCGCCGCCTGAGCGCAAGGCATCGGACGTGCCGCGGCGGAAACGACTCTGCTTCTGCTCTTCCTCGTCGCCTGCCCCCTGGAGGAGGAGGACGGGCGGAGCAGGAGGGTTTTTGGAGTTACTGGCGTGGCGGTCCTCGAGGAGTGGGGTGCCTGCCTCCTGGCGGAGGGAGGAGCAGGAGGTGCAGGAGGACTCCCGGGAGGAGGATGAGGCGGAGGAGGAAGGCTGGTGCTCCTGGATTGTTGGGCGCATCCACGGGGCTTCGGGGCCCCGTGCGGACCCGTGCGAGGGGCGGAACCTCATCCAGGCCTCTCGGGTCAAGTGCCACATGGCAGCTCGCTCTGCCAGGCGGTCCCTCGGCGATTTTGTTTGTTACTGTTGTGTTTGTTTTGTGTCTATGTTTTTGTGCGCAGCGCAAGTGTGCGTGTGTGTGTGTGTGTGTGTGTGCCACCTCAAGAGGCGCGTGCTGCGGCCATGCAAACTGGCTGTTTTGCTCCACCGTGCGCCGCAACGTCATGGGTCCGGTGCTTGCAAGTCTCAGGGCGGCAACACTTCGGAACCTCCGCTCGAACCACTATCGGCTTGAATTTTTGTTCCCCGCAGCTGTCGCGTGAGAACCCGTCATTTCTTGCCGTCAATCTACTCCGTAGCCGTTGTGGCTCAGGGCCGTTTTTGGCTCATTCAGTTTTGTAGCCAGCCGCACCTCAGCCATAGCCGAAGGGGACGGTCAAGAAGTTCTTCGAGGCAAGGGCTTCGGCTTCATCACGCCCGACGACGGTGGCGACGACGTGTTCGTGCACCGGAAGGTGAACGGGGACGACCGGACCGCGTACCTCGAGGAGGGCGATGCTGTCAGGTACGAGGTGGAATGGGATGACCGCAAGGGCAAGTACTCGGCCTCGTCCTGCGATGGGCCATGGAAGACAGGCGGTGGCGGGGGAGGTGGCGACTGGGGCGGCGGCGGGGGCAAGGGCGGGGGCAAGGGCGGCGGCTACAGGTCTTACTGAGACCACAGGGATCTGGGTCATGCCACTTGAGTGCTGGAAGTGCACTTGTGTGCGCGGAAGGGAGGACTCGCCCGAATGATCTCAACCCGTTCCATTTGTCTGGAGCGCCGCACGGCGATGCGGATCTGCCCAGCCTCAGGTCTTGTTTCGTCGCTGTCAGCCGGATCTGCGAAGGATGGTCTGCGCGCCGCCTGAGCGCAAGGCATCCGACGTGCCGCGGCGGAAACAGGTCTGCTTCTGCTCTTGATCGTCGCCTGCCCCCTGGAGGAGGAGGACGGGAGGAGCAGGAGGGTTTTGCTGTTGGTTTCGTCGCTGTCAGCCGGATCTGCGAAGGATGGTCTGCGCGCCGGGCCGTGGCGGATCTGCGAAGCCCGAGCGCAGGGCATCGGCCCTGCCGCGGCGGGCACAACAGCTCTTCCTTCTCCGCCTCCTCGGCGCCTAACTCTTCGAGGGAGAGCAGGGGGAGGTCGAGGA